GTAAACTACCACCACTGGCAGTCAACGGAGGACCCGTGTTTGCCATTAAAAAGCTGCTGGAACGTACCCCTGAAGAATTATAATTCGGGCTGCCACTTCCTCCACTTTGGACGGACAGATTATGCTCCACATCGCGAGCTAATTCCATAGCCGTCTCCAGGTTTTCTGAACGAAGTAATCACAATGAGCTTTGGATTGTTTCCTTAAGGCCACTCATGCAATAGCCCAAATAATGATCGTCAAACAATCCGGTTACTTGGCTAGCCACTTGTACAAACAAGGTGTTGTAATCTTCCATGAACCCAATTTGTTTGACGCCAGACAGCCGTTCAAATCTGTTTCCCCGATATCGGGAATCAAATCTAGCCACCAGGGCCTGCTTGAAGTCTTCCAAGGACATGCCGGGTTTGCGCCCTTTCAACCAAGTCACCCAATACAAGGCAACCCCTTCCATAGCCACCGAAGCCGCTGCAACTTTTCTGTACGGTAGGGTTTCATTGAGTTCAAACTGTTGCTCAGCTCACGCCAACCACCCAATGGGGTCTTCGCCATCAAACGAGGGAAGCAGGGTGGATGCCGCGCTGCGCAGATTGCCAGCGACGAAGGTCACCGGTACACCATGAACGGAGAAGTCGCTTTAGGGGCTCGCGGTCGGAACCTTCTCCGGCGGGGCCATGGATTTCGCGATCACCGCCAACGAAGCCGCGATTTCCGTGAGCTGGACTCCGTGCTCTTCCAGCATCAGTCCCTGCGCATCCAGCTTAGGTTTAATTAGGGTTTATTCGGTCTCTAGTTCTGTCAAATGATCGTTGTGCGTTTTCGTCATCTTGGCGGGACGGGATCCGGCAGGTCGGACCAATTGTTGTGTAATGGAAAAATAAAATCAACGGGGTAAACTGTTGCTCAGATAATCAACGATAAAAAATACCGTTGCCCAGAGCCAAAAGGCTAAAACCAATTTTATTCCATGATAACAAGAATGAATCCTGGCGAGGGGCATATATAGCCTTCTACAAGAAACCCTAATCAAGACCAAATTAATTAAATCCTAATTAGGCCCATACTAACTCTACTAAGTACTCTACTAATAGTTGGCCCAAACCAAAACATAACATTAACCTAATAATAATAAATAAACTATGATGACAACCCTAACCCGGCCCACGGAAGTGGGCCCAAGCCTTGTCCCACCCCATGCTCTTCCCGCTCTCTATCATTCGGGCTGATGAGGGAGCGTGTTAAAGTATCTGTCCCACACAGAAAGCTATAAAACAATTGAACATTGTGTAAGACTTTTGGCTACTTCACCTATCAGGTTGATCTTTTAGGATGAAACTCCGTATCTTAATAAAAGGCCCATTTTTTTATTACATAGGGTTCCCGGCCCATTTTCTTAGGATCTACCCTGCATGTGATAACGGAATTGAAACACGTGACCTACTTTATTAAGAAATAATGAAACACATGTCCTTATATGTAAATAGGTCTTACCACATGTACATTATCCGTATTTTCCCTATGATAAATTATGGAACATGAGACTATGAGACAAGTTCAAGAAAATTGTGTTAAATAATTATATATTTATGACTAAGGTATGTATTATTTACAAGAATGTGACTAGTGATTATTGTAATAACTCGATAATAGTAATTTATGTTCAACTTTTAAACTTAAGAAACTATGATACTATATTGTAGTAACTATTAATCATATTAGCGTAAATAAGTTTGACTTTAGTAACATTTTTTTATCAAACAATTTTTTTTTAAAACCTCAAAATTTATAGGAGTAAAAACTTATGAAATTCTAAAATAATAGAACTATTCTTTTATTCTTTAAATGTGAGTAATTCATGTTTCTAAAATAATCTCAATATTGATAGTATACTATCATATTCAAAATCAAGTAATGTCAAATTATGATAGTAAATTTTCAAGGTGACAATAATGTACTTCTATATTGAGTGAGAAAACATAGGTTGTTTTTTAAGTTGACTAGTTTCACTTCCACACTAGACTAGACCAGATCAGACCAAACTAGATATAAATAGACTAGTTCAGATCACATTAGATCATACTTAGACAGTTATAATTTATAAACTACACATAGAATAAACATTTACAAGACCTGATCAAGACAAACCCGACACGACCAAATCTAATTAAATCAAACCAGATCATACCAAAAAATTAGAGTGCAATTAAAAACACCCATAAAATTTCTATTTTGGAATTGTACATTACTTTTGTTCGTACTTCTGAATTTTCCCCAACTATGCTTTTTATTAATTTGATGAATTAAAACACACAAAAGTGAAAGTTAGGGAAAACACAGAAATAGTAGTAAAACAATATAAAATTCTAAAGTAGTAGTACCATATCCCCCTTAAATAAATAGAAGTAACTTAATGATATTCTAAAATTACTGCCGTATTTAGACATTGTCAAACTATAATATGATAACATTAATATTATAATCAGTATGCAATATTTACTCGTACTTAAAGAATAAAAAAACGGTGATCCTATTTTGAAATTCCACACCACTATTACTTTTACTCTTATTTAGGTTTTTTAAAGAAGTAATTACGAGTATTATATAGTTTGTGATGCCTGATGAGAGGGATGATTAGAGGTGTTAACAAAACAATTTTGGCTCAGACTCGATTTCAGTTTAGATGGCCTCACTATCAGAGGCTCAATTGACAAAAAAAATGTTGCCTCGATTAGTATGAAAGTCAGAGCTTGCTTTCTTGGTATTTTCATTAAGGAATATAGTTACTTCGTATATCAAAATACTGGCCTGTTTCTTTTGTGTATTAAAGGATTTGTGAATACCCTGGTGCCAGTAAAAAAAAATATAATTATCCCCCATATGACTAAAACACTTTCACTTTCCCAATCTAAGACCAAACTAGTTTTTTTTCTCAAAATATTACCTTAATTTGTATTATTTAATTAAAATTCGTAATTAATAAATAATTAAATTATTTCTATGGACAAATATACCCTTTATGTTATATCTATAAAACCCTAAGCTCCTACCCTTTTTCTCCAACCCTAGCAACTAGACGCAAAAGATCTCTGGCTTCCTGCGCTCCCCGCACGCCTTGCTGCAGCCGGCTCACTGTCCGCCGCCGTCCAATAGCATGGCCGCCGCCACCAGTCCATCTACTCGCAGGTTTCACGGCCACCGTCCACCGACCACCAGTCCATCTCTAGTTCCACGCTTGTTCGCCGCCGTCGCCGCCAACCGATCACGCCAGTACACCACCACCATCACTACACCTGCGCGCCGCTGTCGTCCCGATCCATGGGCGCCGCCTCCATCCCAATTCATGCTCGTCAACATCGTCCCAAGCCCTGAGCGTCGCCGTCCTCGTCGCCGTCCAACCGCACGATTGCACTCGATCCAAATCACTGCCGCTCAGCCGCGCCCCTCTGCCGCTCCTACAACTCAGATTCTTCAGTCAAGGCGGCCAAGGTTGATGGCGAACCGAGGTTGAAGACGAACCTGGGTTGAAGACGATGAAATAAGTGTGCAATGAATAATTTATATTTAATGTCATGAACATCACAAGAAGCGCAATGAGTTATGACAAAACGTGCAATGATATGGCAAGAAGCGCAATAATGTAAAAAGTGCAATGACATGAAAAGAAGTGCATTAAAAATGACATGAAAAAATATCTATAAATTCATAGCATCATTTGTAATATTTAACCAAATGTAAGAACTAAAGTTATGAAATCTAAAAAACGCTAAATTCATTTTATGTAATGTTATGTCGTGCAGTGAATACCGCCATAAAGTGCAATAAATGTAGTGCAATAACGCCTTCATGAAGTGCAATATTTATACCCGGACGAAATTAGTGTAAAATGCATATTTTTTAAAAAAGGGTATTTTTGTCCTTCCACAATTTAATATAACGAAAAATTCTTTTTTTTTTCGATTTTTGGTCATATTTCGAGAAAAAAACATAATTAGTCACATTTCGAGAAACTCACTTTGTTTTAGTCATATCCCGGGAATTTTTCCTAAAAAAAAAATGAAAAGATGAACGATTTGATTAGTGAAATAGATATAAAAAGACGCAGGTGATTGAGGTCCTGTGTTAAACTTATTTGTGGCATTAGGTGAAATCTAGCTAGGTTCCCAAATTGGAGTGTTACGATATTGTAAATTTGGAATTTTAACAACTTTCACATGCCTTTTAGGCTTCAGACTTTTAGCAATATTACATTGCTAAACACAATTGACACAAGAATTTAACACAATTGACATTTTTGTGCACTCCCTTGCTAACGGAAGCGTATATAGTATAGCCGGATGTACGGTGAGAACCGTACAGCAGGTGACATTTTTGTAATTTACATGAAATCCGCGTCTTGTAATAAATGAGCATTACAACACATCTAGTGAGCATGATATATATTCTGTTGAACATTAGAAGCATAACAATGAGGATCTCTGCTTCATCTCTTCGGACTTACTTTCTTTTCCTTATTTTTTTCTTTATAAAAACTTATTAAATTATATCTATAATCAACTCTTATGAACTTCAATATGCGAATTCAATGCGATGTGATACTTTTGAAATATGCATTGTTATGTCATTTTACAAATGAGCATAACATGAATACCCGTTGAACATACATAACTTATAAAATGAGAATTGATATGAAAATCATAAGTACTTTTAATTGAACATCAAGACATTTTCATTGAACATCAACTTGAAATTATAAGCACCAATGATTTTCATTATGCGATTGTGATAGGCATCGAGTCGGTTCTTTTGAGTATTTGGAGTCTAACAATGAGCACCAGTGATTTCTGATTCACATCTTCTAATTCAATTTTTGTTTTTTGTTTTTTCATTTTTAACAAATTCTTAAATTATGTTTATAATAAATTTCAATTAATTTCAATATGTGAATCTTATGTAGTATGATGCGTTTGAAATGTGAAACATTTTAAAATGAACATAGAGCAGTACTGAATGAGCATACATGACTTACAAAATGAGTATAAAAAATTCAAAAGTTCATTTATGTATACTCATTTATTTTGGACGTTATACTCATTTGAGTTTAACAAAAAACTCATTTCATAAAGCTCATTTGTGCAACCTTTTAAAATGAGCATAAAGTGATTCTGAATGAGCATACATAACTTACAAAATGAGTATAAAAAATTTCAAAAACTCATTTATGTATGCTCATTCATTTTGGGCGCGACACTCATCTGACTTTGTCTTCGGAATGGATTTAGTAACTTGAGCCTGGCAAACAATTGTTGTGTTCAAATTTGATCTATCTAAATCCTTGTCGACTTCAACTGGAGATGTTTGAACGGTGGATTGATTATAAAAATATTCATAGCTGCTAATTGGTCTTCCCAGGGCATCAATATCAGCATCCTCTTGATATCCACTGAATGGAGAGTTGTTATTACTGTCATCTACTTGCTTACCATAACCTTGTTCCATTGATATGTAAGCTTCTTCAGATCTCTCATTGTACACCTCCTGATGATTCATGGGAAAACCGATGTTTTGTTCCTTGACCTGATTAACTTTTACTTTTCTAACTCCACCGTAATTAATGCATGACTCAGGTTCTTCGATATTGTAAGACATTGACAAACCAACAAACGAATCATTCCCAAGCTCTTCACCGATCACCTTTTCCCTCAAGTTTCTTTCACCTAAACATACTGACCCTTCCATTTGTTCTGATCCGAAAAGCCGACCTACGAATTGGTTTGGAATGGACTGAAAAGTAGACAAGTTATCCCAAGATAGAGAACTTGAATCTGGCTTGCTGACTGAGGAAGCTTCAATGGCTTGTTTTTTGTTAGAAATTAGTTCTTGTTCAGTTGTTTCTGCTAACCACTGGTGGGCCCGCTTTGGTCCAAGTGTGGATGATCCATCAAAGACTGTCTCATCATCTGACACATGCCCAATCCCTTTTGGGATCCAAAATTCTTTCCCATGGAAAGACTATAGACATTATAAATACAAGTACCCCAGTCGGTAATTTTAACTTATGAAAGTTCAGATTAACATAAAATATATTGCATTCAGAAATTTGAAACTTGACAGAAAAGGAACACTGGTTAAAATGATGCTTATAACATTATCCTAAAAGGGTCACCCTCCATACATTTTTTTGTCCCTAAAAAATTTCATTTGATCAAACGAAGATAATTTGGTATACAATCCAGCCATGATTTATGAAAGTTGTACCTTGGCAAAATAAAAAAAGTTGTAGATTTGTCAAACATGACGATCTTTGGGGTAAGGAAATATATGAACAACAGAAATAGATTTTTTATGGGTTTTCACTCTTCAGCCACAAGACCCCACACTACACCACGGAAGTAGAAACAATGGCACTTTGAATGATCAACATTTCCCTTTATCTATCACTAACAGTTAATGACATTTCTGATTCCCAACACTATAACCTTCTATATGCATCAGTAAACAGATGCAAGGAAAGAACATCCACATTCCCACCACTAGTTTGTGAGGTAGAGGTTTAGAAGAGCATAGTATAAGGAATAACTGAAGTAAAAAAAGAATCACTACCATAGAAAGCAAAATGATTACAAAAAAGAAGAGTTCATGTAGAAATAGTTTGATCAAAGTAACAAGAGATATGATCAACAATTGTCCGATAAGACAATCAAAGTAAGACGATACACAAAGTTTGTCCAGCTTTACTCATTCAGTCCAAGGCTTGCTCTAAACATTACCTCACCCTCACACTATTACACATTACATGCATAACCAAACTAATATTTGAGGAAAATTCCAGCAAACAAGCGCATTTCCAGTTTCCCGCAAAGGGAAATAGATTAATACACGTTTAGAAATCAAATTTGAACTTTTGAACAAGTATAACAAGCAACAGCTTACCATTTTGCCGTTCCCACACTTCCACTTCAATCGATCAGTTCAATAGCCTCCATGGACAACCAGAACACTCCTGTTTTCCGATCCCAATAAAAAAAGGAGCACAAAAATTGAATATCCCATTGAGCACGAACTATTTTACATTTCACAAACAGCAAAAAAAAGATCTTAACAGTTTAGACTGAAAAACTCAAGAGCCCTAACCTTAACATTGAAGGAAAAAAGAGATCGCGCGTTTGAATCTGTTGCAGCGGATGCGTGAAATAAACGGATGAACTTGCCGGAAAAAAAGGCGGGCAACTGCGGTAGTTGTAATTACAGAGTGACCGTTTTGTGGTGGAGAAGAGAATTGTTACGGTGGCTGAAGAGCACTGGATCTTTGCTCGCAAATGAACTGTACGGTTTTAAAGGAAACTTCTTCGATGGATTATTACTGTTACGATTATATCCTTGACGTACACGTGTCTGATTGCAAGTTTATCTCTGCCGTTTATTTTCCTTTGCCCAAGCTCTTTCAGTTTTTCCCATGAAGGGCACGTTTGGTAGGCCGTGTTTGGGAATTGGAAGTTGAAATACTTTAACTAATAAGTGCACTTGAAATGAAACTTATTTGAGAAAATGGAAACTAATAATCCAATCTCTTAGCGATCTTCTTACAATGTTTCCACATTTTCGTTATTCATGAATAATTCAACCTTTGCACCTCATCTTCAACTTCCAGTCCGTGACCGTTCGATGACATGCTATTCCAAGTTATTTTCCTATCTTTGCAAACCATTATACCATAAATCTCACCTTTCACAAAGATAATATTTTGCAAAGATAAGAAAATAACTTGGAATAACAGGTCATTAACCGGTTAAGGACCAGCGAATGAAGATGGGGTGCAAAGGTTGAATTATTCTTGAATAACGAAAAAGTGGGACTATCGTAAGAAGACTGCTAAAAGATTGGATTATTAGTTTCCATTTTCTCAACTTATTTTTTAAAAGTATGGTTAATAGAAGTAGTTATTATTGTATAAATTGATACCGTAGTAGTAGTTAAAGTGTAAATTGAACAAAGTCACGGCTAACTTATGACTATGATCACTAGTTCACTATTACGTTTAGAATGTCACATTTTTTTGATCGCCTTTTTTCATATCATAAATTTCAGGATCATTACATCAGTCAAAGGAAAAACAAAATCGTCACTAACTAAATTCCAACAACTACGACTGTAAACCCTATGATCAGACTTAGAGACGGTCACCCCTGAAAGAGCAACGCGAATCGCTAACCATGTAGCGGGCTTCACATAGCCATCCATGTTCCCATAGATCCAAACATACTCAATGACAAAAAAAGGCTGAAATCCCAAACAAACTTACAAACCTAACAACATAGACGATAACAAGAATCCAGATGACAAAAAAATAATAACTAATAACAAAAGTTTCACGGACTCTATCACATCGTACAACCCACGACGGTGGTTCCGGAGGAGGCCGTATACTTGGTACCATTCGAATTGACCCACCGTTGTCAATCATCATCTGATCTGCTCGAAAGCCGCGCAATTCTCCTCGTCCAGCTCTCTTAGCAAATCCCCCGCTAGCGGTCATCTTCATCGCTGCCATGCCCTTGCTACCCAAACTCATTCTTCCTCCTAAAAAAAGAGAACCAATCGGATTTGCCCACTACACACCAACAATCCTGTTCGGAATACGAGCGTTTGGAAGACAAAAATCCGGCGAAATTGCAAAGCAGCGCAAAACTGTTCGAAAAAGCAGCCTCGCGTCGGCCAAAACTTCCAAGACCTAGGAAGGTTTTTGAAGAGATTGTACGCCAACCGAAGAAAAGTAGCCGGCTGGCCGAAGCCACCGTAGCCCACGACCTGAGGAGATCGCCGCCGGAGAAAGAGCTAGGCGTTGCGTGAGGCAACCCTAGAGAGACAAAATGTCACATTTTTTAAAACAACAATTTTTAATTTTATTTTTTGGAAAAAAATAACATTTTTTATTCAATAACTATGCTTATGATGTCACTACTATACTTAGTATATTTTTCTAATAAAATACACAAAGATTGAATGTAATAAAAGCTTAAAGTGCTTAAATTCAATCTGACTTATCGATCATGGGTATCAACCTTAACTTGTTTTGAACCCTAGCTATATGACTTCGGTTCCATTTGATAACCCAATTTTCAGTTTGTCGACCATGGGTATTAAGCGCTGTTTTTTTTTTTTAATTTGCGTACGCAATCATGTAATAATAAAATATAAGTAGTTTTAGTTATTTTCTTGATTGAATTTACTAAAGTGGCCGAAGCCAATTTACCTTTCTTCCATACAATTGTTTTCTTATTTTTATTTGTAATACATATTTTGAATGCACTTTTCAGTTTTCATATTTCACGAATTCAATCAATAAAATCAGTTGGTTTCATAATTACCAACCGACTCTAATTCTTACTATTAAGTGTCCAAACTACTACTCATTCTGTGTCAAAATGATTTGCAAAACCAATTTTTCATGATCAGTTTCACTTTATCGATCTACTTATCTAACCCACCCGTAATTTTTTTATAATGTAATTTTGTTTCGTGACTTTATGGAACTTCAATGCACTTTTCAAATATGTAAATTTTACTAACCAAACCTGATTTAAATATTCACAAGGATGATTTAACTTTATCGCTGCTCAACCTTAAAATACGCAAATGACAATTCAGTTCGGGGATAGAGGAAGTACTCCCTCCGTCCCAATTTGTAAGATACATTACGGTTTACGATGTTTGACTGACGATAAAGCAAATTGATCCCTGTCAACACTCAAATTAGTTCTAGAAAATAAAATTACATATTCAGAAACTACATTAAAACCGCTACAAAACCTGCAAAAAATAATTCAAATTTCATAAACTTTTGATATATAAAATAAAAGATTAAGAGTGATTTGTGTTGACCAAGTGAATAGTAAATGTATCATACAATTTGGGACTGAGGGAGTACTATATAATGAGACACGAGTTGGAAGTATAAACGGAATGATTATTGATCTATTCAAAAAGGGGAGTAGAAGTTGATAAAATCTATTTGAGTCTTTGAGAGCATTTATTTTTCGATTAAAATCCTAATATACAAATAGCCTATACTAAAAACATTAATGATTAGTTTGAGAGAAATAGTCTTAAAATCATTTGAGATTATGCAACTAGATCAATGAATCAAGCAGCCTTACAAATATATCACTCAACTGATATATAGGCAAAGAAGGCTCAAGTCACTCCATGGTTTCTTTTCAATGTGTTGATCGTGGTACTTTTGAGATCACACGGTACATTTACATAATCGCCAATAGTTAGAGTGAACCATCTTTTCTTAGTTTTATACTTTTATTAGGCCAACTCCATTTATAGCTCTAACAGTTTTACGGAGTATAAAGAATTGATGTAAAAGGTAATTTTTTCGCTACATCTCATACTTAGAGCTGTACGGAAATAATAACGTTGGACGTAATAATTTTGTAATATTTTGTAATATTCTTTCCTTTGTAACCGTAGTATGTGTAGTTTATTTCTTTCCTTAGTTTAGCATACGGTTACACTAGTCTCTTTATTTCCCTTTATTTTCCTTTATTTCCTTCCTTTTTGGTTCTTACGTGTAAAGTGTATAAGTTACAGCATGTTTGCAATACAGAGTTAAGGAAATTCATTCAAACATTATTTTCTTCCCGTCGGATTCTTCATGGTATCAGAGCCAGGTGCCTAAAACCAAACCGTAATTCTCTTCTTCTTGCAAACCCAACACCATGACTGGATCTCAGACGAACACGGAGAACAATTCTGGGATGAAAGAATACCGACGGAAAGTGAATGACCCGTCCTCTCCCTATTACCTTCCCAATTCAGATTTTCCAGGCGTCAATATCTGTGGCGTGGTGTTGAAAGGGGATTCAAACTACCGGGAATGGGCGACGGCAATGAGAAATGCATTCCGGGCAAAAAGAAAGCTCGGGTTTCTTGACGGGACGATCTCACTTCCTGAAGACAACGATGATGCGGAGGACTGGCTTAGCGTAAATTCGATGCTGGTGGGCTGGCTGATGAGCTCCGTTGACCCTTCTGTACGCAGCACAATTGCCTATGTTGACTCGGTACACGAGATGTGGGAAGATCTCAAAGCCCGATTTGAAGTAGCCGATGCCATGCGTTACCATGAGATAAAGGAGGCACTGCAGAATTGCCGCCAGGGAAGCTCGTCGGTGACCGACTATTTCGGAAAACTGAAATCTCTCTGGGATGATCTCTCTGGTTACCGGAAGATACCTTCCTGTAAATGTGGAGGGTGTACCTGCGACCTGGAAAAGGAGTTCCTTGCTGCCGTGGAAGCTGAGAAAGTCCATGATTTCTTACTGGGTCTCAATGGAGCTACTTATGGAACACTGCGTTCCAATATTTTAAGCATGACAGAACTGCCAAGTCTCAGCCGGGCATACCAAATGATGATTCAAGAAGAGAGGCATAAGCATATGACACGTGTGCAAGACGCAAGGGAGGATGCCACAGCATTTGCTGTGCAAACTGACGGTCGATGGAACACAGGGATTTCATCTCGTGGCAAGGGGAAAGAGAAAATGATTTGCTCATATTGCAAAAAAGAGGGGCATGAGAAGAACCAGTGTTTCAAATTAACTGGAGAATATCCTGATTGGTGGTTTGCAAACAAGGGAGGACGAGGACGCGGGAAGAGTCCAGGACCCGGTCGTGGACGAGGGGAAAGTAGTGCTTCAGCTAATGCTGTTTTGACCAATGCAACTGAAGGCAGAGATGGTGGACTGGATCGAGAGAAGCTGCCAACAATAACAAATGAACAATGGGAGACTTTTCTTGCCTTTGTTAACAAAACGAAAAATGATCCAGGTGACAAAGTAGAGAAATTGTCAGGTATGAACATCAATAATAATTGGTTACTTGACACCGGAGCTTCATATCATATGACTGGAAACAAAACTTGTTTGATTGACTTATGTGTCATTAATTCGTCCCCGGTAACTCTCCCTAACGGTGATATGACCTTAGCAACCCATGTTGGACGTGTCAAATTGGGACCGGGAATTGTCTTGAGTGGTGTACTTTTTGTACCGAAACTTACGTGTAGTTTGATTTCGGTTGGACGTCTTATTGATGATATTTCATGTCATGTCATTTTTTCTGACAAGTTTTGCGTGATACAGGACCTCACTTTGAAGACGCTGATTGGAGCGGGTGAACGTCGGGGTGGGGTCTACTATCTGTGTGGTGTCGGACGTGCTCAAGCCTTTCATATGGGTAGTAAGGATGATTTTGATCTGTGGCATCAACGGATGGGACACCCGTCAACAAAGGTGGTTCGCATGCTTCCAGTTTC